TAAAGTGAAAGAGGCAATACAGATTTTCTCACTCTCTGTAGAAGCATACTCTCATTATTCAAACCACATTTCAATAGAAGCAACAGGCCACCACAAGCAGCATAAAATCATGGACCTGAAACCTCTCAGAGTTTCCCTCATATGTTTCTCATGTGAGATGATTCTTTTTTAATGGACATGAAAGGACTTATAATGCCACACTTGACTGAAGAAAAGCCGAAACAAGATTTCCCACAGATGTCTCCCTCATGTCACTTGTAGTCCTTCAGAACTGGTGTGTGATTCTGCATAACGTCAAAGTCAAAGTCAGTTGAATAAAGTTTTTCAGCCTAAAATGAAACACATACCCTGATCTCGACACAAAAACTCATCTAAAATGATGAAGAAGTCAATCTTTGTTGCTATGAAAAGCCTTAAAATAACAAAAAAAAGACTTCTTGTTTTCTGAAAGAAGCAAGATTTCCTATTTGTAAAGTTTGATAATGTATGCAGGCATATTGTTGTCCTCTTGTAATTAGAAAAACAAATCAATACCAATGTATAAAGTCACAAGGTTTTAATTCTAACAACATGCTTGTCTCATTATAACAAGATGTTTTCACATTATTTTGAGATATTTTAGACATTATGAAGTCATTCAAACTTATTTATGAACAATAACAGTATGATAGTACAACATAATTTTTACATGATTTACTAACATAATTAACTAGCTATATTTTTGTTTTTATGTCGTTACGATGTGAAGATCTGGGGAACAGATAGGATCAATAATGGAAATGTACATGTTTTCTTTCCCTCTCTGTTCTCATGTGACGATAGTATCAGCCCACAGATACATTCAAAATGTTAACCAGTCATTTGGGATAAGGGGGAAGGTTCATCCTTGAATAAATATTTGCTTAAATCATTATAATGTTTTGTCCAGGTGATGAAGGCATCAGTTATAAAAAAAGAATAGTTTAGGGTAACACAATATCAGAGATTATTTAATGTACGACCCCGCACTGAAAAGAACATTAAAACATTCCATTCTGACATGGAGCCTGTGTTAAACACCTGGTAATGGATTTCATCTGTAACATAAGTCCTGAAATATGGAGTCTTGCAGGAATTCAGAACATCATGTCTACATGCTGGTTTAAGCACATAATTACAGATTAAACATCACCAGTTTCCAAAGCCATCAGAAAGTCTTTGCAGGGTGTGAGAAAAGGACTGTTTTTGGTTCATGTCCATCTGAAATCCTCAGATGCTAAGCACACTTTTATTCTAAAGGATTCCTCTGTGCACTGTTTGCGTCAGACTGTCACGTGTTTCTGCTTTAGTTTTCATTGATGATTGGTTCGTATTTTGCAGGCTCAGTGTGGGCATTTCAGTGCAGGTCAGAATTCAAAGCCTACCTATTGCCTTTCATGATTTAATAAGAAGGAATAAAGAAAGCAGTGGAATGTAAACCACACAAACTCCCATGGCTAAAGAAATTATCTCAGTTTGAAGACTTCAATCAGGAAAAGGGCAAAGCAGAGCTGCACATTATTATCTTAGGATGAATTAATTCAATTTATCAGGCTGAGGACAATGAACTAATATAGGAAACACCTGATTGGCCTTGACATTTACACTCCATTGATTCCTGAAACATTTAGACTTTCAATCTGCAATCTATAAGGTGTGAGCACAAAAGAACAGGGATAAAAAGAGGATAACAGAGAGCAGCTAATGACAGGACGGATGTGTCATTATCTGTGACACATCCTGTGATGAATGAAACAAAAAAGTGTATTTTTTTGGGCCTATGTGTGTGTGTGAGAAGCTTGTCTCTCACAGTGTTAATCTGAATTTACCCTCAATGATTAATGGTGTGTATACAATTGCAACATTGAATTTAAAAATTGATTAAAAGAGCCCACTCTTCTGATGCCAGGAAAACTTGTAACCATATTGTTTGGTAGTGTGATGGAGAACATTTGGAAAGAGTCATTAATGTTTGGCAACACTTGGCCAAAAGCTCTAAAGTCTGGATACTCCAAACCACCAGAAAAAATACTGCAACACTGCTTAGCATACTAATCCCTCTACATAACTTTCTCTGGATTTTCATGTGGTTAAATGATCACATTGCAGCACACGTGTGAAATAATAAAATCAAGGTGAAGTTGTTTTGCCATGTTTCAGAGACCACAAGGACACTCTTGTTGTTCATATTTGTGCTCATAAAGAAGCAGCTTCTTTATAAAAGTACTTCTCTTTAAATAAGTTTTTCTATACGCATTCCATCAAGGGTATAAAACTGAGAGAATTAAAAAAACATGTCAAGAAAACAGAGATCTAGAGTTACACACAGATGGTGAACAGCTACTGCCGTGATATTTTTTAAACTTTAAAGAGGTGTTCAGAAAGGAACCCCTGCCTCAAACATACAGTTTGCTTTAAGTATTGAATCCCTATATCTGAATTGATTAGAGAAAACAATTACATTGAAGGAAAAGTACACGGCAGGGGGATGATGCACAAAATAGCATTGTTTGCAGATGACATTCTTTTGTTTATAAGAAATTCATTGACATCCAAACCTGCTCTCATGCAATTAGAATCTTAATGAGATGTATCAGGGTCGAAAAAAAAAAAAAGATAAAATCTGAGCAATGATGATCACAAGGGGAACAGCTGCCCGTGGTTAGACAGAGAAGTGAAATTCATGTGGCCAAAAGGTGGCTTTAAATATTTGGGGGTGATTTTGACCAACACCTCCTCACAACTATTCACAGCCAATCACGTTAAACTAATTTCTCAGGCCAAGAAAGATTTGGAGAGGTGGGAGATACTTCCCCTTTCCCCTTAACTTCAGACCCAGTATGGTGTAGCATTGAATGATCTGTTCAGGTATTTTCAGATCTGACATTATTTGACGACACACAAAGATCACAGCAAAATCAAGGCAATATTAACCAATCTGGAACTGTACTGGATGAAGATGGTTGAGGATAAATTACACCCAAGGAAGGTAATATATTGTCTATATAGCAGGATTCGCATAGATTCAACAGATAATACATTGAATGTTAATGGTAACTGGAAGCTAACACCTTAATAGAGGATGATATGGAAAGTACGACCACAGGACTGTGACTCCAGATGGACATTTATCTTGAAAGATGGTCACCTCTTATATTGTACCTTGCAAAGTGAACTAATTGTAAATATTACAACTACTTAATTTAAGGTACATTTCTTTGTACTCCATGCACCTATTTTACTATACAGTATTATTTATGTATATAAGTGTGAGGCTTGAAGTCAAGCAACTTGTTTTAATAAAGGTTCCCAAAAAAGTCAAATCATGGAATGAAAGGTCCTAAACATTAAGGAGTGACTAATAAGAAAAGTGATTGAAAAACATTTTGTAAAGGTAATAGATGTGAGAGCTTCCTTTTTTTCCTTTATATGTTCACTACGTGTGGGTTGCTTTAGAAGCTGTATAAGAATTTCCAGTTCAAGGAAAAGACGTCATGACATTTTAAAAAATCCATTAAATGTGAAAGGATTGTTTAGCTGAACACTGTGCGATAATTGACGTAAAAGAAACAGCATTCAAAGCCACATCACACTGAAGGTATGATGATTCTCCTTGACAGTTAGCCTGGACCTGGTTACAGGCTAAACTTTCATATTTACAGTTGTTGCACAGGATCAATTCTCACTTCATCAAATGTTGAGTAAGGCTGATGAAGTGGAAGCATGACCAGTCAGTCAGTTTTTAAGGAATATTAATTTTTCTCATGATGCATTATGGTTGGGTCTTTGTAAATAATATAACGAAGAGTAAGGTTGTTAACCAGCTGAAATAATATAACAAGGTTTCTGACCCCATCTTTTGTAATGTGTCTTTTAATATTTAGTTTAGTGTGCTATACAAATATAGATTGATGATTAATACTTTCAGGTTCACTGGTTGGTTTCATGGTTAACAGTGTGTACATTTTGACAAGCAGATTTGACTAATAAGAAAAAAACATCTGTAAAATTATTTATGTCCCTTAGGTTCATTTTTTTATTGTATGAACCTGAAATTTGTATGGCTTTTGGGTCCTTCAGCTTAATTTCATATAGTTAGGCTCATCTCTGCGGTTTCTCCTGCTATGTATAGAGTCCTTCAAAATGACCTGCACTGATTCATAAATGTTTAACATAGAGTGGTATTCAATATAAATAAAGTATTTAATCCATAAGATTAAACACAGCAATAGAAACATTTAGCAAAGCATGTTTATTCTGCATGGCTGAGTTAACCCTTGCTATAACATGTAATGAAATGTTAAAATCGTAAAAAAAAGAAAAAAAAAAGGAGAAATGACATATCTAATTATGTGGCATCCTGTAAACAAACAGCCATTTGAGAAAACAAATGGAAATGAGGATAGACTATTTTAGACTAAGTGTTATATCATTATGCTGTTGTACCTACTGTACCAAGACTTGTTCAATAAATAAGCTACTTTACTTTGTTCATCAATTACAATAAAAAATACCATCAATCCAAGAGAAACCAGTCAGAAAGTCATCAGGCAAGTCTGCAGATTTAGAAGTGTTAGAATTGCAATTATGCCAATGCAAATAGACACATTTCCTATCCATTGTTGTGGTTTGTTCGATAGAATATAACTGGAAAAAAAATCTCCAATTGGGATAATAATGTAGCAAAGAATAAGATATGTCTGAGCTTTACTGAATTTTTTGCAGGACTTTTTTTTTACAGCCTCTTTTTTTTACGCACAGCTTCATGTTGTTTTACTTCCTCCAGGAGACCAAAACACGTTTTTTCTATGGTCAAATTTTTACATCCATGGTTCTGAACTTTGTCAAAACATTATAAAAAAAAAAAAAAATGTTCGTAATTTTTGAGTATTTAAAATGTCTGATGTTATTAAAAACGAATGACAACTTTTCTCACTTTCTTTCGGAAATCCAAATACTTACCGGAAGTCGTCAAATGACACAACGCGCGAGACGTCCTGCGTCCCTTCGAGCGGGACTTTGATTGCTACCAGCCGCCCTAACTATAAGATTTGTTATTGTCTCCAATAGTAAATTTTGTTCACTGACATGGCCTTTCAGGTTGAAGCGGATTTCCCCCCTGGCCTGTCATCTTTAAATGTAAGTGATGAATTTAGTCTCAAATGGTCCTGAGCTAACACGGCTATTAGCTCTTAGCTAAAGAAAACATAAACAATAGCTTTCCCACATTACTCAACGAGTCAAAGTCATTTCAACAGAGCCAAATATCAACAACAACAATCAACTTAAGTTTAAAATATGAAACATGACGTCACTTTGAACCCTGTGGTCATTTCATGGTTAACGTAAAGGAAACGTTAACGTCATGACTGCTACACTGCCAAAACAAACATTTACCTGGATAACGGGTTTGTAAGGAAATGCTGAGTGTTACTCTGTCCATTACAATATTTACTATGAAAATAAACACAAGGAGCATGTGTAGGTTGTCTTGTTGTTACACTTTTGTTTATTGAAAGTGACGCAATCAAGCTCGGAAATTCTATAATTTACAATATCCATACTCTGTTGGTTATAGATACACTTAAGGAAGTCTCTTTTCATGCTAAATTAATTGAAATTAAAGTATGAATTACTAATGCAACTATCTCAGCATTGTTTATGATAGCTTAGATTCACCAAAAAAGTCTGTGTTGCTAACTCTCCTGTTTATTCTTATTTTGAACATAAGTATCAATGAGTCACTCTGACTGAGATTTCTCTCTTGTGCAGAATGTTGACACCCTGCTCAGGTGTCCCATTTGCTTCGACTTCCTCAACATAACAATGATGACTAAATGTTCTCACAACTGTAAGTAACAAACAAGCAGAAAAACTTTAACTATAGCTGAGGTGTTTTTTGCTGTTGCTGTTATTGAATGTATAGCAATGTTTTGAGTATGTACAACATACTACTTTGAGTGGGTTGTACAAAGAGCAAAATGAAGCAGCAGAGAGTCTTAAGAAAACAACTACTTTTGCAGTTAGGCAGTTAATTAAACATCTGAATAATACTTGATTTCTTTTGAAAATAGTGGAGTTTTTTGCAGTAAGTGTGTAATCCAGCCACTCCAGAAACAAATGAAGCATTTGTAGTGTCTGGTTCCTCCCTTTCTCTCTGACAATAACAGAGTGAGTTCCTTGCTTAAGTTAGATCAGTTTATTTAGGTGGATGGATCTTAGCTTACATCTTATTGTTTTAATAGACTCTGCATCTTTTTTCTCCTCCTAAGTTTTGCTTTGTTAAAGTATTGTTTGCAATTTATTCCACAGTTTGCTCCTTGTGTATCCGAAAATTTCTCTCCTATAAGCTGCAGTGTCCTCTTTGCAATACAGTAAGTATGAATCTGCATAGTCATCAGAGTCACAGCTCAAATTAAGAATTCAGGATTGCAGGTTGTTATCTGTAATACACTGTGTTAGCCGGGTAAAGATTTCCCTCTTGTATAATTTTTCCTTTTCTTTTAGGCAGCAACAGAACAAGATCTAAGGAACAACCGTTTGTTGGATGACTTGGTCGTAAACTTTCGAGCTGCAAGGTAACCTTACAACACATTAGAACTGTCTTATGTCCATCAGGGCTAACTTTATAAATGGACCTGTGTGCAGACTGCATCAGCATTAGCTGTTTTTAAAATCAGAACTACAATTGTAACAGGGGTGAAGTAATTCAAAGTGTGGACTTTGTAGGGATGTAACAACATCAGAATCTCACAATACAATAATATTGCGATATTAATTGTTACTAAATATAAAGAGAGATGGCCATTTATTAAACAATGATTGGACATTGAGACAGGGTATGAGATGGGTCAAATGACCTGAAGTCCCTTTTTGTAAAATGGAATAATAGGTTAGGCAAACGCTTCCTTTAGAATCTTTGGCTTGGCTGTACTTTTTTTAGCATCTTTTCAGGGATGACTATTTGCCAAGTGGTGACTCGTATTCCTTGACGTGTAGGTTACCGCAGTCTGGCAGTGTCTTCATACTGTTTTTTGTTTGTCTGGCACCTTTTCTGCTTTTTCATTTCTCGACACAAGAAAACCGAAATGCTTCCACCCGTCAGATTTAAAATCGTTTTTCTGTAGCCTACTCCCTCGCAAATAAAGTTGGTGTCCACCATTTCCCGTGTCACTGTTCTATATCTGAGGCAGCGAGGAGAGCGCAAAAAATGATGGGGGCTTCATTAGACGATTGTTTCCCTAGTTCCCAATTCCCTCCACTCTGCTCCTCTGCAGCAGAAACAAAACTACATTTTATGCCCATAAGACCCATCGTTTCATACCGTCACAAACCACGGCGGTGTCAAGACACTTTTGAACTCTGGATATCGTGAAGTTGACAATACTGTTACATCCCTAGCACTTCAACACTCATCCATTTTAAATGTAGGGTTTTTTTTTCAGTACAAGCTGTGGTCATCTGATAGTGCTTCATTAAAACATTTGACAGCATGAAGAGACACAGATGGTGGAAGTTAAGAAACTGCTACCTTACTTTATCATCATAGAACAATGAAATCCACGAACTTGAACGGTCCTTTTTGTAACCACAAAAAAGTTTTTACATTTGATTATTTTTTCCTTCGAGAGAGACCACAATAATTGAAAATAACAGATCAGGACATAAGACTTTTCCCAATATCCATGTAAACCTTTTTACTCTGAACACAGGTGCACCTTCTGTACATCTGTACACATCAAGACTCGAGGAACTGAGGAGAAAAAGGTTTACCATGGGGATTTCAGGTAGAATTACTTGTTATTGTGCAGATTACAATATGTCCACAAGGGAACCTGTTTCACTTAACTACAATTTACCAGCATTAGAAAAATGCTTATAATTGCCTTCCAGTAATCTACTTGTGATTTTACGGATTTTCTGTAAATCAAATGGGGATTTTGTTTTCATAAGCTGGGGTCGCACAGGGCACGTTTCTCTGTGTTGTATTGCTTTTTTTTTTTTTCATTAGATTAGTATGTAGGCAGAGGGAGCAGTATCCAGGCTGAGCTGGTCTAAAAGACATTTCTTGGTTCTTTAAATTGGATTTTTTTCTGCAGTGACATTCATTGCAGTGTAGGAAAACATTTTCCTTAATGTTTTGTTATTGGTGGCACTGGCCGCACGGGTACAGCTTATAGCTGTTTACTTGTGCTCATTGATTTTCTTTGACAGGCTGCTTCATGTGCAGCTGTTTTCTGCAGTGTCATACTGTTTTTGTTTAGTGAAATAAACTACAATTTACAATCTTGGGGCTCAGCTGGGCACTCTATGGCCTCCTGGTTTAAGGTCATAATTTCTTTCTCATCATATGATCCTCACTTTGTATCAGTCTTTTTCCTGTGAAAAAGTGATAATATGAAAGGACAACAGAGGACACATCTCCTCGGGGTCATGCTGCTGCTTTTTCAGAAATAGATAAGTCTATGACGTTTTATGACTGGTCTGTGTTGGGTGCATTATGGATGGGTCTCACTCTCACCCTGCTAGGTGGACACAGACTGGCTTTAAGTTAATCAGTGAGCTTTGTCCCTGTATAATAAACAACAAAAATAACTGGCTAATGTAAATATATGGGATGATTGCTTTTATACGATATTATAGTTGTCAGTTTACCTTTCCATTGATTACATCAATATTATCCCACTCTGAGAGGTCTCTCTTCAAACTTCACCCTCTCTGATTGTCATCACTGCTGAGATGAGTCGCTTACGCATCTCCTCTGTGTTCAGTTTTTTAATTTCCTGTTGTCTAGTGTTGGGCAGCTAAAGCATGCAATTCTTTCTTTGATAGATAGCTCTGTCATAAAGTCTTGTTGTTACGTGGTAATGGATTTGTCTCAAACAGTTAGTCTTTGTTTTGGATTTATTCATTTGCACCGAATAATATCTACTGCCCAAAGACAAGAACTGTCTCTGTCACATGAAAAAGTTGGGCCTGGGTAAAACATATTATCAAGCCTGTTCTCCTTTTGTTTTACATGAAAGAGAGGGAAAAAACAAAACTCAAACAAAAAGAAACTCTTAACCCTGAGTGCTTACCTCATTACTGAGTCACTTACAGAATGCTCCACTTACAACAATATACTGTATATGGTGAGCAAATTCACAAGTGAGTGTACAGCCCTCTTTTCATTTTCCCTCTATGAATTCACATGTGAAACATACTCACCTCAACCTCAGCAATGTAAAGAAAATGCACTGTTAGCACTCTTTTTTGTAACTCTTTTAACACATTTTGTAGTGAAAAGACTTTTGACTCTGCAGCAGTAAACAAGATATTTGAATTACTATGGGCTATAATGGCCATAGTAGTTTTTATCGCTGGAAAAAAATGTTTTTCTTAGTAAGAAGAATGCAGGAAAAAGAGGTTAATGCATAGAAAAATAAACACATCTTTATACTTACTAATTATATGAGAAGAACCATGGGACAAAATAAATGTAACTAGTGTTGTAATTGAAGTAGTTGTTGTTGACTTGTTTGTGGGTCTTAGGTCGGGTTAGGGTGTCAGTCAGACTTCAAACTAAAAACCTAAACTTCTGTGTTGATTCCCTCAGAACAGCATTTTGACCTCACAGGGATTCTTGGTGTGCTTCCCAGTGTCTTGATTTTTACATATTGTAGCTCATTTCTTATACTTTTTGTGCCTTGCTTTGTTTCCAGTAAATTGGTCATTTTAAAGTATAAATTTGCAGCCACTGCCAAGCCTCTCTTCCATTCATAATACCCTGAGAGATATGGTCTGTATATTATGAATGGCTTGAGTGTCCTTCCCCCTTCAGAATAATGAGTTTTGGATATGGTCGGATTGAACTGTTATATTTAGATCCGCTCCACGTCCTCATTCTCCACCTACAATGAGTTCAAGCCAAGCCCGGGCAGACATTGAGTTTTATTTTGGAAGAGGAGTCAGAAAAATCATTTTTCATATTATGGTGTCTGAGCTACAATAAGGTAATGCCAATAGAAGGAATACCATTTTGTTTTCATTGAGACTTTTAACTGTTTTTTGGACCATTGGTGGTGCAGATCATTTAAAGCATTTTTTAAAGAGGTGTCCCTTGCGTTTATTACTTAACAAAAAAAAAATCCCCTTCACTTCAAATCCTTAGAGGTCATTGCATAACTTCAGTGACTAGTTTTAAACGCAAAGTAAACCTTTTATGTACGTGATGTCTTAAAATAAGGACTTATTTGCTCTTCTGACAGGTGTCTTCTCCATGGCAACAGCCAGTAAACCTGCACTCAGCACTATTTAGAACCATTTGACACACTAACGATATGGAAACACATCTTTACTCAAATGAGGCAGAAACTGATGGCTGTTATGTGTAATGATAGAACATTGGAACTAGCCAGGTTGTGCTGAGTCACAGTGCTGTAAGCGTTTAAAAGCAACCAATGAGCTCAAAATAAACCACAGGGACAATGGTTAAGACAGTGTATGAACGGCCACTCTTTGATGAGTCACTCATGATGGTTTGGGTGATTTTTCATAGAACTTTCCTCCTTTATTCTTTGACTTATGGAAATCTATCAGACTTAAAGGACTGAAAAGAATGTGTTTGTTTTCCTGGATGTATGCATTGTCATGGATTTATGCTGGAAGGAGACAACATTTCTTTAAGGTCTTTGTGGGTAAAATATCACATTTGTGCACAGCAGTTGTGGCAATACTGTGTGTGTGTGAACGAGTGTTAATGTACCCTAATGGGGACAGTGAGTCTAAATAAGTTTTAAATATGGAAAAGGGAACATCACACACCTCATTGGTTCCATTTTATTGCCAAGTAATGGCCCAGTTGCAATTTGTTTGCTTTCCACATTTCCAAGAGTGAAGCCAAAGAAGTGTTTCTCTCGGTCCGGAGGAAAGGAAAGCGATAATTGAGCAGGTGCAGCTGACGTTCAAGAGCTCTCAATGCCATTATCTGCACATACAATGTGTTTTCACCCTCCTTTGCCTCTTTATGTTATTTGACATGTACTTGTTGATAAATGTTTGGAGGTATATACTTTCTTTTGTTAGAGGCGCAGGAGGTGCTGCATAATGTATCAGATTGAGCTCTATCTTGTCAAAGAGTGATGGTGGACTGCTCGCTTCATCACATGCCGCACACGTTTTCATTCACATGCACTTTGCCTTTATTTTCCTTTTTCCAGGCAGCAGTTGTCAAAGGCAAATTTTGACTCTCCTCCAATATCCCCAAAGACTCCAGCTTCAGCTGTCAAATGCAAAACTCCCAGAGAGAAAGGCCAGAAGTGTAAGAGCACCGTTTTGAGTCACTTTTTCCAAAAGAGGCCAAAGACATCTCCCTCGAAAGAAACCCATCGGGAAAGTTCTGCTGCTCATTGTACTCAGCAGGGATCGCGGACTGCACGCACTTCCAGTGTAATCAGCACTGATCTGCATTCAGCTACTGCTCAACCTCCAGTGTGTGTGAAGGAAGAGCCGATTGATGCAGAGGAGGGATTTATGCAGACGTTCATGTCAATCAAACAGGAGGACACATGCTCATACTTTATAAACACAGGAGCGGAGATGGCACATTCCTCTTCACCATTCAAAGATGTAAAGCCTGTAATCAAAGGTAAAGACTTTTAAATGTGCAGGTTAAGAGCACAGCGTCACTCAGCTTATTGTTTGTTAACTGACTCTTAGGGTTGAAATCTCACTCAATCATCATAAAAGGAAAGCTAGAATATGCTGCTGGTAGATCCAAAGCAGCAGAAGCAGCAGAAGATACAAACTGCAGTTGTATAAGCTGTAAGTGTTGCCTTTCACTGACCAAAAAACGTTAACATTATCAATATAGGTCGAAGAAAAAAAAAACTGCCTTTGGACATCCGTTGTTTATTACCAAAGTTTGCAGTTACTGTGATCACACTTTAAGTTTGCTTTTTCATTTATTTTACTTCCTATACATCTAAGAAGCAGGCTCAGCTTTCACCCTATAAGAATAATGTAGAGCTGTGAGCAAGCGTCACCTCTGATGTTGAAAAATGAAGCCAACGTGAAAGTGCAAAATCCTGCAGTTTGTCGAGTGTCTGCTTGAGGCTGTCTGCAGAAGCACTGTAGTATGAGCGTTCAAATTAGTCCCAAACTGAAAACACCCCTCAAGGACTCAAGATAATACTCCCAAACTTTTTCAAGAAAATGTATTGTTGCTTTTTGCTTTTTTTAGATTATTAAATAGTTTGATTTAAATCAGAAAGGTTAGCTCTGTGCCGATTTATTTTTATCTTAGGTGAGTTGTTTTCACTGGTAGTGGAATTTAATGTGACTCAAGCACCTAAAATGTATTTATGGTTTGAAATTAGGATGCTAACTTTAGCCTTCCTTTTTGTGAATCGTTTTTTTTTTCCAGTGGAGTGTCCTGTGTGTTCTGTGAGCGTGCCGCAGCAGTTCATCAACAAACATCTGGACACGTGTCTGAGCAGAGGAGAGAAGAAGGAGAGCTTGAGGAGGTAAAAAGCCTCATCACCGAACACTTACAGGAAGGCTCTCTACTGTTGTTTACTCATGCTGTCATACTCTTTCATCAGGAGGTAGTATTTAAGTTAAAGACGCTTCATAGATTTTCCAAAGACTAGAAAGAGAGGGGAAGTGTTGCCGTTCACATTTATCTCTACTCGTCCCAGTATGTTGGTCGGGCTAGGAGGTACTGTAAAGGTCCTGGTATAGAGGCAGTTCTGTACAGTCACAGAAAATAAGAACATTATGGAACTTTTCAGTTCATTTTCTAATGTGAATTATTAATGAGCACAGATCAATACTTTGACAAATCAGATCAGCCTACAACTACTGTAAATGGAGAAACAAATCATAGAACATAGCAGCAGGCTGCTAGGCTATGTAGCTCATTTTAACAGCTACATCATATGGCTTCTAAAAAACATAAATACATTTGCATTGGCCTGACATTTCTGTAACTTCACATTAAGAATATATATCCTGAATGCTCTACATCAGTGGCAGTCTTCTTGGCTCTCCTTTACGGCTGTCCCCTCTACAGTCAGTCATTGTGTTACACCTTTTCCATATTAGATATACTGTTGAGGTTTTGCAGACCCTGCCCAGTCTGGCTGAGATCTTTCTGAATTAAGGGGGGTGCAGACACTCCTGCCAGAGTAAATCAGGTCTAAGCTCACATATTCATCTGTTTCCCAGACTTCACTCTATATATAAAGTAGGATGGTATTGGCTTTATCTGTTTTATACACTTTTTCTGCTACCTGCTCTTTCCACTGTCTGACTTGATCGTTTCTGCTCACTTCTTTTCTTTCTTAAACAGCTCTTCACTTAGTCCTTCTAAGCTTTTGTTTGTTTAAAATGTAAATCACTGCAAAAACACAATTGCTCTTACTAGTACATTTGTAGTCTTATCATAATTACCTGGCTTCATTACTTGCTGAAGACACTCTGACGTTACATGACACACTGATCCTTGTGAGTGGCCTCTGAAACCAGCTTCTCCAGGGCGTTCAAGGACCCATGCAGAAATTATGAGGTTCTGCTAATGATTGATTATATTTGTGTTACAGTGCAAAACACTTCATCAGGAGTAGACCTTGGTGTCATGATGATAAAGTGCAGAGGTTTTTAATATTCTGGCTGTTTGTTGCCAGCCATTAGGAGAAAGATTCCTCCCGCAACCAGCCTTAATAACTTCCATTTAATGTTTTATATTCAAGGAAAAATAGAAAATGTAGCCAAAAAGAGACATTGGGCGTCTTTGCCAGATTATAACAGGGCTGTGGATCATCAGAGTGTCTGCACCAGGCTGACAAATATCAACTACCATCCATTAATATCACTTTGTTATGAGCTCTGCCAATGTGGCCGCTGTATGATAAATTTGATTAAGCTGACATAATCCATCAATCCTTTTATAGCTAATGATACCTTTTTTATTTCGAGCAGTCTTAAGATGTTTATTACAGCTGAGCGCAGACAGATGCATGATCAAGTCATAGCTGATGATAAGCAGAAATGAACAAGTCCGCCTGCTGGTTGCAGTTCCATTGGGGGGACAAGGCGCCCGATGGGGAAGGCGGTGTACAACCTGCTGTCCCTGCAGGAGCTGAAGAGGAGGCTGAGGGAGTGCCACCTCTCCATGCAGGGCTCACGGGACCAGATGATCAAAAGACACCGGGAGTTCGTCCAAATCTACAACGCTCAGTGTGATTCCTTAAACCCAAAATCAGGTGACCATCTTCAGACTTCTGAAGCAAAATAACAGACCCACTATAATGTTTATCCAGCATGCAAGACTCTGAATAGCAAAGTAGCTCTTCATATATACTGTATATATATATTTGTGTATAAATCAAACAAAGCTGAAGATGAATTACTAAAATGACCGAATAATTAGTTTGTGATTTAACCAACCACCAGTTGGGAACTGAATCAAATTGAATTGATTTTTTATTTTTATTTTTTTTTTATAAATATGGATGATGCAATTAAACACAGTTTAATACAGAACATGAAACTGATGTGCTGCACACAGTTATTCAGTCAGCTATTTCTTATTTTCAACTCTTGTCCCTAGCGGAGGCTTTAGGTAAACAGTGTATAAAATATATAACATTCAGTAACATAAAACCAGAAAACACATTATGAGGAAACATTAGAATACATGTACCACAATATAATACACACACTCATTCTACAAACCAATATAAATTAAGTTTAAGAAACATACACAGTTAAAGCAAGATTTGTTTTTCTTAACATTTTTATTTCCCAACAGTTTTGCCATTCAAATTTAAGAAGACAGTAACATGGTAATTTCCCTGTACCAAAGTGATGTCCTCCTAGCTTTTAGTATTAGAGATAGTCCTGGTCTTTATTTTTTCACTGTGAGACTGAAAAAGTCTGTAATCCCCAAAAAGCTGGAACCATCAAATATTTTATATTTATTTACCCTTAAAAACCAACAAACTCTCAGCGAGCAACAAACATGCTCTAAATGTTTTTGTCAATAACTGATCTATGATATGACTACTAAGTCTAACGAATGATCCTGCTTTAGAGACATGAATACATTCTGTGAGTACTGATTTAATCTTAACAGGTTGTGTTTGTATTTACTGCCCCCCCCCCCCCCCCAGGAATGTCTTCATACTGAAGAGCTTCCTCAAGGGGATAAAACGTTTTATTTGCTCGATAGCACAGCTCTCATAACGGGCAATATTTGTGATCTCTGGAGTAATGAAGATTTCTCTGTCCTCTGTCAGCTGAAGATATTGCCAAAGAGGTGGAGGCCAATGAGAAGATCAAGAATCAGCTGCAGGGGAAAGCCAAACCTGTGAGTACTTAATGGAATCGCTGAAATGAAAAGAAAGCTTGAAATGTTTTATTATTTTTTCTTTAAAAATGTTCCCCCGTAGAGTTAATTTATTTATACATTTTTACTGCTTGTGGCTAAAAAGCAGGTAGCTGTGATGTTCAGTAAAAGAGGAAAGGCAGGTAGAAATAAGACTCTTATGAAACAGATTTTTAACATAGTAATAACTAAGGTATTTTACCTGCTTTTTGTAACATAACAATGAGTAAGGTCTTTTACCTGCTTTTTGTAACATAACAATAAGTAAGGTTTTTTACCTGCTTTTTGTAACATAACAATGAGTAAGGTCTTTTACCTGCTTTTTGTAACATAGTAATAAGTAAGGTCTTTTACCTGCTTTTTGTAACATAGTAATAAGTAAGGTCTTTTACCTGCTTTTTGTAACATAACAATGAGTAAGGTCTTTTACCTGCTTTTTGTAACATAACAATGAGTAAGGTCTTTTACCTGCTTTTTGTAACATAACAATAAGTAAGGTCTTTTACCTGCTTTTTGTAACATAACAATGAGTAAGGTCTTTTTACCTGCTCTTTTGTAATGTTAACAGACAAAGAGTAAGGTCTTTTACCTGCTTTTTGTAAAGTGTCTTGAGATAACACTTGTTATGAGTTGACGCTATACAAAATAAATTGAATTGAATTGAATTTGTTCCATCTCAGGGATGGACAAAGTACCATTTAGGGGAAATACTAAATGGAGAATGTGATAACAAGAATTTGTCTACTCTTGAGCTCATTCCTCTTATATTGATGGTAATGGCTAATGTACATGATGTCATCAACATCTCTTGCAGGTCATGGTTTTCTCAAAGAAGCAGTCTGAGGAGGAGATAGAGGAAGTGCATTCTAACTATCGTAAGTGATTGTTTATTTAAACCTGAGGACTCTGACTTTACAAACTGAACAGCTCAGGTAGATGCTGCTTGTATCTCGTGCCCAAATGCTCATTTGAATTATTATTATTTTAAATCACATTCATAATTGTTGAATTTAGATAATTAATCAGAGTTAATTTTTATTTTATTTTTTTAACTTAGTTTTTATTTATTTTTTCCATCAACAACAGTACAATATGGAAAATTCTGAATCCTCTGCTCTCCTCCAGCGGGACACCTCAAAAACCCCTCCACTCACGTTTGCACAAAGAAGTTATCAATTAGAACGCACTATAATTAAGCACCATTAAGTGCAAGCAGTGGACTCAATTGTCCTTTGTTTGAGCTGCAATTTCCTGTGGCCTGCATTGTTGTGTTAGCAGGCTAATGTTAGCACACTTTGCTTAACTCATAGCTTCACATTGCATGTATAATTGAAACAGAATGACTGACATCTAAAGACACTTATGTGACCAAATCAGCAGTGGGCAGGCTGTTATTCTTCTTTTCTCTCGTCCGTGACAGAAGCAGCTTTGTATGCAGGTCAGTCCCGTTCATGTAAGCATGATGTAAACATGATGTAAACACGATGTAAACATGATGTAAACACGATGTAAACACGGCCCGACAACTGTACAGCTGGCGGGACTCGTGCTTCTCACTCATTGTCAGAGAGATAATTATATAGAATAGACTTTATTTCTGCTATTGCTGTTTCTGATATGTTTGTGTAAAATGTCGCACATTCTGCCTTTAAGTTCTTGAGCAAATATTCTTAGTTAAATCTCAACCCTGCAGATCACTAGAAACAAGTTATCTAAATGAATCAGTCATACTCTGTTGAAAAGAGAAAATGATCGACAGTTTCACAATTCTCATTCAGTGAAAATGCAGAAATGTGTATTTTTTTTAGATCACACCAGGTGTGATATGGGTGACCCAACCAGGTGCAGTGAAATCCCCTCTTGACTTCTGCAAGCTCTTTCATAGGGTGAAATACGTGTTCATGAAAAGGCTGTGTTGATTCCTCTTTTCATCCCACAGCCACAGGAGTCAGGAAATAAGCTGTAATGATTTCTGCTGTATTTTTTTGTGTGTCAAATGTTGTGCATTCTTCCTTTAAAAAAAAATGTATAGCAGACTAGAACAATGTTGATTCTAGAAGTTGTATCACTGTAATGGATGTCTCAAAAATTACATATTAATGAGATAAACATTTGGCATCTTAGTGACAGCCTGTAATGACATTTTCCAAAGCAGACCAGAGTCTTTTGAATCTAGGGAAAGGCTCATTTTTCCATTTCATTGCAGAGACTTTGGTTGGAAAATCCAGTCAACAGGCTGCAATCTTTCTTGAGACAAAATCCATCAACTAAAACTACAAAACTTGTTTTGTTCTGTCAAAGCTGAGTGACTGTAGCATGTTTATTTAGTGGGGGAGACTGTTGTCTGGAAACTGAAGCAACAATATTAACAGTATTGCGTACTTTGGATCGCCAACAAAATAGGATTTTACAGGCAGTGTGTCTCCCAGCCACGTTTTCCATCTCACTTTATTCAGTCTAGAAGCTTTCCATTAAAAGCCAGCCTCATATACCTTCCAAAAACACATTCCCAGCTACAGAAATTAGCAGAATTACTTCATCTTCAGTATGTGAGTCATTTAGCAGCAAGGGATGGAATGAAAATGTAAACTGATGAGGTGACTTAAGGTTTTACTTTTGTGGTCAGAAAAAAAAAAAACGTATTTCCATTTTTATTATGACAAATAAGCTCTGTCTAAGTTTTTGTTTTCATTTTCTATGCGCTCAGATTCACAGGAATCTGCTCCAGCTGTGTGTTTTTATCCTCAGAGTCAAGGCTGAGAAAGAACAGCAGCAACAGAGAACATCATCCCAAGTCATGAAAAGCTTGTTGAAAAAAACTCAGAGGAGCTAACATTAAAAGTGGTTGAAAAATGGATGTGACTCACAGGAGGTGGGTTCTAAAAATAGCCGCACTGCTGTGATAACCTCTTGATTTATCAGAGGAGGATGTGGATGACTCACTCTGCCAGCACGGGGAATGGTGAATGAGCAGACAGGAAGGTGAAAACAGCACACGTGCTCGCACAAACATCAAATCCGATGGTGCTTTTTAGTCCTCAATGTGACAGCACATTCTTCGAGAGTTAATACAATCAGACGCTGATTGTTCAGGGAAACATCCTCATAACCAGGAATAACTTTGAGGAAAAACATGGAAATCCTTCTGTAATGAGAACCCGCCCCCCGGAGAAGTTTGATTTGTGTATGTAACTCCCAGATGTTCAAACCTCGGCATGTAAACAAGCTATACTTAACATGAGGGAACTTAACACATTGCAACGACTTAATCCAGTAATGTGATGATGACATGACAAGTTATACTTTGACAAGTTATATTTTTAATTGATTTTACTCAACAGACCCATTGAGATTAAAAAGCTAATTTGAAAGAGATACTTGGCCAAGGTAGCAACCATAAGAAAACCCCCCAAAACATAAAAAATACCATAAAACACAAAAAATGGGGAAATCCGAACAATATTTAAAAAAGTCTGCCACACGTCTGTCACCAAATCAAAACGATTGTTTCCTATTTGTTTTATTTTCTCTCTGCACAGAACCCTTGGTTACACTGTGTTGTTATATTTGAGTGTAATTCCGACACTCACCTGTCGGGGGAGTCTTGACTTATGCTGGGAGTAAAGCCAAGACTCCATCTACCGGTAATAGCAGCCAGGTGTGTGAATGAAGGCAATTGGAGTCATTTGATTAGAGTGTATTTGTGTTTGTATTGATGGAATACACGTATTAATTAAATCCCAATGGAAAAGGTAAATAAACGGATCGGCGTATCCAAAACGATGATATGCGTTGATCGGACATTGGATTTGTTGCACTGACGAGAACACGCGTCCCAACTAGATCTCTCTCTCTCTCTCTACTGAATCCATCACAAATCCAAAAAGCAGACATTATGCTCCCTTTTCAACACAAGGACATTTTCTCCTATCTTCTATCCTTCCACGGCCGTTGTGCAAGCTAACATAGTTGTTTCTACCAGATGAACTTTAACTAATCTAAGGACAGCAGGCAGTAAACCGTGGTTTCATGTGATTGGCCTAATTGGTGTGAATGGATAGCAGGATAGCCCATGTCTCTAAGACTTTGATAGTTAAACATTTTTGCATGGTGTATTTACAAGAAACCATTTTTCTTTCAATGCAATTCAGGCAGTCTTTGAGCTACATTCTCTTTCTCCCAGAGAAAGTAGAGTCATAGTAACATCTGTGGGATTGACAGGTGTTTACTCGTAGCACAGTCAGCTGCCGTCCCTTACTTCCACTTGATTTTAACTATAACAAGATTCCCTCTCCCCCCTTGTCAGAATGTGACAGGCAGTGACGTACCTTTTTCACAGCAGTCTTTCAGACACAAAGGAGGGGCTGTCATTGTGTCTGTGGAGTCTGTTCTTAGTAGTGTGTATGACAAACATTTTCATTTACAACTAAATACGGTATGTGCTGTAGATGGTTGAATAAGTCTCAGGTAGTTCAGCTGTTCCATGTGCAGAAAGTTTCATGTTTAAGTAAGTCTGATAATAACAGGGTGGTGCCCACTCCTCTTCACATTGTGTGTTTATTACATCAGTGGTCAAAGACAAAAAGTGTTTTTTCTTTCCTAGAACTGGAGTGCATATTTTCATTTGAGTACAAAATTAGCTAGATTGGGTTCATTAGGTTTTTCCATTTGTGCCATCTAAAACAGTGGGAGGGAGAGATGCTTTTTAAATGTCTCGTCGCTGCTTGTCCCATGCTTTCTATAACAGCTTAAAATGGAAACATTTGATTTGAACACACATGGACCTCGGGAATATCAGCAATTGGCAGAATACCAAGGAAACATTTTGCCTCCTCCAAATGTAGAAATGTCATTTTTCACTCATTAAATTCTCAGAGATTTCCCCTAGGCTTTATTTTTGTATCAACTTAAATATTATATTATGCCTGAAATATTCAAAAGGCCTTATTTAGAAAATAATTTAAAAACTGTTCCTGAAAAAAATAACAACCAACAATCACTCTTCACTTAATTGCAACATGTAGAGCACACCTTTGTTAATTCTAATGTTTGTTTCGTCAGTGTGTTAATGTGAGTATCACAGATTTTCAGACGTTCTGTATTTCTGCGATTAAATCGATAATTTATGTTTGGATGACTGCCCAAACTGAATTTATGCTCTTCTACTGCCTGCTTCGATTCACGGTCAGAGATAATGTCTTTTCAATGACTTTGTAAGCTTCCACCACAGCACTGAAAGTCCTTTTTTTTTGCTGCTGTGATCCCATCTTGGAGCTTGTGTGTATGGTGTTGAATAAATCCTTGTGTTTTGTCTAATCTGTTTAACCTTTCAAGGTTGGAATTTGTCTGTTGTTGCTCAAAATATGAATCTGATTGGCCTGATATGGAAGAATTATCCAAAAGAAAGATGAGTCCATGTTCTGTATTAATACATGCTTTCCAAAACAACACACTGTCCAGTCGCCTTTTTTTCTGTTGCTATTTCTCAAAACTATTTCCTTTAATGCAGTCCAGGATGTGCTGTGTTGTCACCTATTATCCACAATCAAGCATCCACTTAACTTTGAATTATTAGCAACAGCGTTAGCCTACATATTAGCATGTGTGTTGCATTAAGCTCATTCACGTGATGCATATACCTCTTATACTTCTGCATAAGGTCATTGTATCCAGTCCTTTAAACGTTTGCCATCATATGTGCTCTTTTCCCTGCAGGGAAGCAGCACAGCAGTGACTTTTCCCGTCTGATTGCTCAGGTCCGAGGTCGTCTAGAGACCAGCAGACAGACCTGCATCAAACAGGAAGCCGTTGCAGATGGAGGGGACAAACATAAACCACACTCTGCAGGTACGGCACCAGCCATAAAACTTCCTCTAGCTGCAGGACAGTTGTAGTCTTGTCTGATATCCTGCAGCATAGGTCACCTGATCCACAGAACATGTACCTTTCCTTATTGTAAAAGAAGTGCAAATTAATTGCTTTGTGATTAAATTGTTTTTCCCAACAAAATACAAATGAAGCCATGCTATGCAGCTCCACATGGTTATTGTCATTCTCTTCTGGCAGATGTGTGTGAATCGATTGCTCCATCCTTTTTAAATCACCAAATTAAATGGTCTGTGGGATTTCATATGTTTTGGATGATGTTAGAGGAAATGCAGAAAATAATTAACCAAATGCTATTGAAAAGTGCTAACAAGGAGAGAAAGAATGCAAGGCTGAAACACATGCACAGCCACTTTGAAGGATGCACACATTATTATTGAGAATAAGTGGAAAATGGTTCATCTCAATCATTTCTTTGAGTTTAATTACAACCTGAAAAAAATCTCTCACTGTCTCAACAAAACTAAGTCAACTCTTCAACTGTAACTCAAAAAGCAGACATGATTCAAACAGATTTGGATTGTTTCTTATCTGTTCTGTCAACCTGCTGCAGCTGGAATCATCCGACCCTTTCTTTTTAAAATCTCGACAGAGTTTTGACTTGTGATCCATAACTCTGCATGCTTTCTGTTTTGTCTGTCTATCACAGAAGGTTATTTGACACTGCAGCTTATTTTAAGTTCTTACTAGAGAAACACATACACATGTTTCACACATGTAAATGTATTTCCCATATTGTGTATATAGGCAACACCCCTCACTGCTTATATCAGACTCTCCTCCTGATATAATTTCTAAGTGTTTACCCCACCTTTATTTGTAAATTATAAAAATAATTGTGCTCTGCAATCTGCACAATCAGTGATTAAACTGTCTTCATTAGTCATGGTTTTATTTATGAGGATGTTACAGTAAAACATGTAGCTAGGAACTCAAACAGCTTCTCAATGACTACATTCAGCATCTTGCATACTTTTACATGAGAAGCTTTGATTGTGCTTATCCTTCATGATGACATTTTAACTTATAAACCTTTAGAACTTAAAGCCACTGTTTAAATTTTACAATTAGGATTGATCCACTGACAATCTTAAAAAACCTGACAAAGCAAAGGAGGTGCTCGTGCAGATTAGCCTGCAGAGAAAGATCAGAAGTTCCCTCAGCTTTACAGTTCTAACTTATCTTTCAGCTGTCCAACAAACACAAGCTGGTCTGGATCAGTCTCACCGCCATCACAACCGCTGGACAGCCACAGCATGCAACTCCACTCAGTACCAAAAAGCTCTCTTTACGCAAACAAACCAACACCGAGTGGCCGAATGTAAAAGCGACCAGCTGTTAATCATAGTGGAACATTTAGCAGATGGGGGCATGCTCTAAATAAATACATGAATGTTGTCTTTTGCTGCCTATTTGTACACCTTTTAGAATAAAAGGCACACACACAAATAGTTCATGAAATGGTCCTTTGTGTTAAAAAGGCTTATTGTGATAAATGTCAGTCTTGTTTTAGCATAGGAACTATAAGTAATTCTGGTGTCTTCTGGCAACTATTCCACACCTCTTTAGACAGTCTTTTTCTCCTCTGTTTAGTTCCACCTGGATGTCTGACACAATGACCTATATGTTTGCCTCCTTCAGATCAAGCTGAAGAATCTGAAGGCTGTTTAGTGCTGAAGGTAGAAGAGAGAGAGGAAGATGAAGAGTCATCAGCAGGAGTGATTGACTTATCTTCAAGCCCCACTCATAGTGACGTGTCCATTAGCAGGTGAGAAAAGAGAGACATAGTGACTCATTCCCAGCTTTTTGGGTTCCAAAATACAACCTACTTATTGTGATTTCACACTGATAATGAAACGGAGGGACTTGTTTCGAATATAGCAGCTCTTCTTCCTGCAACTGTGACAATTCAGAAATCCCTCAGAGCATCACCGACTGGCTTCATTTCAGAAACATGATAACCATTTATTTCCAAGGCTCTGGTGTGTAACTCAAAGAACAGTGTTCTAATAATCTGTGTTTCATTTAATATTCAATTAGCATTTCTCATTAAATCACTGTGATGTGAAGCATTGTTATAACTCATTCTGAGGTAATTACATTTCGATGGGAACAAACTGAAGAAAAAAAAGGAGACGGCCAGCTCGTCTGTAGTCTATTTAGATCTGATAAGCTTTGTGCTTGTAATAAATAATTTTAAGGGGAAGAATCAAGGAGGTTTTCTGCATAGTAAGGAAAAAACACCCATGAATAACAAAAGTGTAATGCAGCAGTTTAGTAAAAATAGAGAATCACATCTCGTTCTAAATCTGTACATTGAGGAAAACGATATCTGTAGTTTTCTGCTAATCCCTGTCCTGACTGTGTGGACATGTCTGAAACACAGCAGGAGAACCAGTAGATCCAGATAGACAAACAAACACAGACACTCTCAAATCATTATCATGTCCTTTTTGTAGATGAAAGTAAGTTCAGAGTAGTCAGAGGTGGAACAACAAAGAAAGTCCGACATTATACCTCTAAATGTCACTCTGATATTATTATTGTTTATTAGTCACAATAAACAGTCGTTCAATTCAATGTGGACTGAGGACATGCACAGGAGCATTCACTTTTCTTTTCTTTTGCAAGTTTTGATTTAGAATTCAGATCTCAAGCAGGACAGGTTCTAACACTCCCAGCAATGTGATGAAGTATAAACTGCATATTATACAATAATTATCACGTTAGACAAGAAAAGCATCTTAAAGAGCTTTGCAATACAAGTGCTTCACATGATAAGGGCATAAAATGACCAAAAGAAAAAAGAATAGGAAGCTGTTATAAATGGATAAAGGATGGAAAATAAAACCCTACTTGATTAAGTAGTAAGTAAAAAAAAAAAAAAAAAAGAAGGAATAAATAACACAAGATGGAAATGTAACCCACTGAATAGGTATAATAACTGTGCAGACAAAACTAAATCACAGTATAATTACAAACAGATGCTTGTTGTCTCTAAATGAGGCCTCGCAGCCACACTCTACATTTTGTTCTTAAGAACCAGACAAGCCTCTCTGCCGCATCATAAAGTACTGATATTGATGCTTTCCAGTGTGTGTGGTCAACAGAGCTTCTCAGGGATCAACACAAATCAGAACAGAGTTCAAATGTCCTGGTTTGTCCAGAAAACAGAGGGGAATTTGTCCCTGCTGTTGATCCTTACTGTTTGCATGCAGCTCAGTTTGGTGCATATAAGAGGAATGAAAATGACTGTTTAAAAGAAGATGTCTTCAAACACTGTTGAAACCCTCACATATAGGTAAAATATAGTATCCGTCCTGCAGCATTGATCTGGCCTGAGAGACTTGTCTTTTTTAAACTTTCATGTTGGTAGAGGGGAATGAAGTTGTCACAGCACACACGTCTCTATCACCTAAGGTAACGCCAGTTAATAATAAATAGAGTCGCCCTCGGCAAACGACAACCACGGAAATGAAGCTGTGCTGACTGTGGCAGCTATATGTTACAAATCAAAGCACATTAGAAACCCTGTCTCTCTATGATGATAATGATATAACAACCCCATTCAGACCTTTGCATATTTTCATATCAAAGAATTAACTTCTGTGTGGGAGCTTAAAAAGAAAGACTAAAAGTCTGTTTTGAACTTTCAAGTCCAGCAATGAAGAGCCACATGCAATAAAAAAAACACACCAACTATATGATACATGAGTCGCAGAGAGGAAATAAGGACCAATTAAAAGTTTGAGTTTCAAACAGAGGGACTTTAAAACACCAAACTTTTAGGAACATGTCAGTGTATTAGTGGATGTGCTGCTGGCTCTCACTGAATAAATTATGCTTTTTTTCCCTAGGAAACCAGGAATTGTTCTTTTGTTTTTTAAAAGACACTACTCATATGTTTTTTTTTATACCCGTGGCTTTGGTTCTCACATTGTCAGAAATCAAAAAAGAAAGACTGTAGTGGGAAGTTGAGGTCATTTCAAAGTGTTTACCGCTTGTTGTTGTACCAACAATAACATTGAGCAGCTTTTAAACTAAGAGTTAAAGTTGCCTTTTTATTTCATTTTAGTTTACTTTTATTGGATTTATCCAACACTACCTCTAGTCATTCATTCGTCGGCGTGGTTGGATTTTTTAAAATGTTATTTTCTATGATTTTGATAGTAAATATGAAGAAGATTACCTTGACATAAATATTGTATTGTTTACTCTCTTTATAAAGCTGTTATCATTGTTGTGTAAATCATTGGTTCTATAAATTATTAAGATTATATAATTTCCCTTTAACATACTTATTACATAACTAATGCTTTACAGCTGGATGTGTACCATGAAGTCATGAGCTCTCCATGCTGTCTAAACCTCATGTGTTCATCATGAGAATACGCTCTGTGATGAAACTGGATCCAACTTCAAGCATGGTCTTTAAATCATCAGGGACGTCCTGCTGTGATTCACCTGCATGCTTAGCGTTTCGATTTACAGTTTGTTTGAGAGATGATGGATCAAAGGCAATGCTTACATATGACACCTTTATTCCCCCTAAGGGGAATTTGTTTTGCACCAAGAGCCCCAAAAAAAACAAAAAAAACTTTCAAAAACAACTTCACAGCTATACAGTTTAGCACACAACATACACAAAGTATGAAATACAGATACATCATGAAAGCCTGATGTGGTAACCTATGAAGCATATCACATATGTTAGATGATGTGTTGACTTTTTATCTTGTTGTGTTCGCCCAGGTTCATATTCTATTTATAGTTAATTACAGCTCTTTTTTTCCCCTCTACAGTTCAATTTCGGACATCTTTGGTCCAGCGCCTACCAGAAACCTTGAGTAAGTGATTCTACTGTCATTCTGTCAGGAACAGTAATGCCACTTCAGTTTTTTATTATTTCTATTCATTTATGTACTATTAACTCACAGTGTTTTCATTACACGTCATTGCACACTTGTGTTAATACATAGATTGGGTGTCAACACACCGTTGTTCTCAGGATTGTTGTCCTCTGTGGAAGTTGTTTTTAATTTGAGGAATATTAGGCATTCCACACACTACCATTCTACCCCGCTGCTTAGAGGACAATTTGTCCCTCTTGATACATCGAGATTCCAACAATGTTTACAAAAAAAAAACACAACAAAACAAGTTGTATTTGCTCTATTTTGAATGTAAAACTGCAGCGACCAGGAGGCCTGTAGTGTATCTAAACATGAAGCTTATTAATGAATGATCGTCTATCTTTGAACATTCTTTGTTCTCCTCCTCTGTGGCAGCATTACGTTGTAGCTGTTGTCTGCTCATCTGCTGCTACCTTTGTATGATTTCTGCTGAGTATATCTTTAGATTTTGCACAAACAGCCACTTTGAGTTAAAGATGACCTGGTCAGAATTTGCTGTTTTTTTTTTTTTTTGGGGGGGTGCTTATCTCAAGAATGCTTTTTATGACTTAATTTTAAACCAATGTCTGGAATGATGAGGTAATGCTCTAGCCAAAGGGTTTTGTTTTCTGCCTATTCTTTTTCTTTTCCACCTTTTCTTGTTCAGGACATCTGGGTTTATCTGCAACACACTTTTTTAATTTCAACAAAAGCAAAGGAAGTTGATCAATGCTAACTTCTGGTTCCCATCTCAACAAGCATATATTTTACAAAGGTGCTCTGACTATCTGGGTATTTAAAAAAAGGTGTCAAACAGAGAATGTTAATAAATTATGAGGACATTCTTGCTCCTCACATTTGTTCTATTGAGCCTATTGGAAGCTAACATTAATGCTAACTGGAATATTCAGCTAGCCAGCTCATCCATCACTCTGGTGAGAAAGTAAAGTAAAATAAACAGGGGGTGAATTTATTTTTGACTCGCTTTCAGAGCCAGCCTCAAGTGGACACTCGTGGAACTACATGTTTTCATGTATCAACATGAAACATATTTATATTTGTGAATGGCCTGATGGGTGCTGTTTATGGTATAGGTCTTTCAATTTCTCATCTTATTTCTGCAAACAACACAGAAATCTTTATAACTGATACCCTGCCTATGTCTATGTTTAATCTCAAAGGGTGGTCTGCAGGTAATTGCTGTTTAGTTTTTAGTGTAGGAAAGTATCTGGCACAGTGGGGTACATGTCTTGCTGTGTGATTTGCCTCTAACTTTTATTATTATCAGGTTTAATTTAATGTCTTCATAAGTTTGAAAATTAAATAGATACTGAATACTTTTTGAATATTACCACATATTGCGATGTTTCTAAAATCTGGATCACATCATGTCTTGACTTTGCTCCTCCGTCTTTGCTTTTCGAACCAGCCTATCATTATTGTATTGAGAACTACTTAATTGTGGCCTTGCAACCTACAGTAAAGCAAGAAGAGCAGCTAAGCCTGCTGTACTGAATGTTCTCCAGTCTGCCTTCATAAATGCTGCGTAGGGTTAAACAGGCTGTTGAGTGTCGTCCTATGCAAACATATACTGTTGTGATTTCCCTCGAGCAAGTTTGGGAAACCCATTTGTTATCAGAGGCAGGAAATAGCCTCGATCATCACGTTTATTCAAAACAAATTGTTGGCCAATAGTCGACCATAATCCCCAAGAAAGATGATTTTACCCAGGCTAAGTGTTTGTCAGAAAGCGAACGTCATTTTCCAGGGAGAGTCATTGGGATATTTCTCTTCAATTATAGCTTTGAAAAGTGGGCTCAATATAGAGATTTAATATGTACCTTAGTGTGAAGGCTGCGCTCTGTGTTCTTTTTTTTTGTATTAGGTTTTATTTCCTCATCATTTAGTGCCTGAACATTTAGTGCTGTCTTCTCTGTCAAATGATCCTGACGGTGCAATAAGTCAGCCACACGTACTGTGGCTCCTCAGCAAGGAGATGACTCACCGATCAAACGCTTCTCAACAAACTGCACAACAAGTTAGAGTAGGTGTTGCAGCATTGTACCCTGCTTTCCTGTTTCCTGTCATTTTTGGAGGTGGTGTGTCCTTATGATGCAAGAATCAAACTTGTTTGGTAATGATATGGAAATGAGAAAGGAAAGCAGGGTTGTAGTATTTGATGATACATTCTGTGTAAGATTCTCGGCCAGTTTAGATAAAACCCTGTCCTCTTGTGGTTAACAACACTTAGAGAGGCCCACTTAGGTTTCCCAATTTAGATACATATATTTATTGTGTAAGTAGAACAATGTAAATTATAATCTAGACACCAATTCATTATGATGTGTGCAATAATGTTCCTCTTTGTACATAAGATAGAAGCTTTATTTCTATTTTAAAAGGATGCTGTAGAATTAATCTGTTATAACCTGATTGAGATTGTGTGTCCAGGGGAACTAAAGGAGTAACGGAATAATTTACAATAATGATAATATACTAACAAAAACAAGTCTACATGGACATATGTTCACAAATACAAAAAAGCAAATGTACAAAAGTGAAGCAAAGACAAGAAAAACATCAAACAGGATGCCAAATGAATACACAAACCCCCACTCTATCATGAAATAAAAAGTAGTCTTCTTACCTGATGTATTAATAAATAATACTAACCTCCCTAACTTGTCACAGAACAGGAGAGAAAACAAAGTTGTTGTTGGGTTTTTTGAAGATGATTTTTTGGGGCTTTTTATGCCTTTATTTAGAGACAGGACAGTTAGTAGAGTCAGAAATCGGGAAGAGAGAGAGAGTGAGTAGGAAATGACATGCGGTAAAGTAGCCACAGGTTGGACATCCGCTGTAAGGGCTAAAGCGTCTGTACAGACCTGCAACACACGGACATGGTGAGGGAGAGCAAAATGAAAACATAGCCCAGTCCGAGCCAGTATCACTTTATTCTTGTGTATATAACGGTTTCATTAAAATGTTATCATTGCACTTTGTTCCTGACACAAAGCCGAGCCGGCCTCAAGGACACATCGAAAGCTTTGCTGTCTCGCTACTGACAATACATCAGAAGCACTTAAATCTGAACATGATTCCACCTTGTGTTTTTTGTAGATAATCAAGACTCATTTGTGTCTGGGTGACCTTGTGTCCTAACCTGCTAGTGTTGATTCATAATGTCATCTTCTGTATAAAGTCATACAACACCAGCAGTGATGGGCGTTTTATGCGTCATGACAAGCCTGTGCTTTTAACAAAAGTGAAAGGAAATGAAATTTCCATCAGGCTTGCTCTCCATCCTCCAGCTTGTGTCAGCCTCAGGCAGTGATGAGAAGTTAACTGTCCATAGTTGAAGTTTTGATCCACACATTAACAAAAGCCTGCTCACCAGTACACCACTAAACTGAAGTCGTCACCCCATCCTTCAACTTACCCCCATGTGTGGACTCTGACCTAAATTCCAGTGCTGGAATTTTGTTTTTCATCTCGGTACAGTCAGGATACAGAGGCAGAGGACCTTGTCACTGGCTGCAGGGTGATATACATCTAACTTATGATGAGCTGAAGAGAGCCCTTCATGTGAGGCTCTTAAGTGGTTCCACATGCAGGACGCTGAGCCCTTCCACTTCTTAGACATGTTCAACAGCTCCTAAAAAAAATAGAGATCCGTGTCCATCGCTTTGTGTCAGAGTTGTGTTAGTTACAGACATGTAACTTAACACTGATGCCCAGTGGGGCTCACATAGTAGGAAACAATATTGATGTGTTCATGGTTATCCATTAGTGGAAGATGACTTACTTTAGAGGCATTTAGTGCCCACTCCAGATGTGTTCCTCTGATGACACAGTGAGGGTTCCTCTAGAATAAATAGAACAGAAACTTTAAAGAAGGTAACACACTGTTTCTCTTCCTCTACTTATTGCATTCAATCTGTCTATAAAGTTCAATGCACCTTCTCTCATACATTTAAAGAAATTCCTGACAAGATTTTTAGCAGCTTTGTTCCCTGTAGTTCTTTGTAGTTTAGAATGGGTATGAATTTGTGAAGTGATCATAATATCCAGGTGTCCATATTTGAAATCTGTAATATATATAAAATATTTCAAATTACGTAATACATTCTTTCAAATTACTTTAATTCAAACAACATGTTTTCATTTCCCCAAATGTATTTTAGTCCAGTAGTGATTGTGTTTAACAAAGACTCAGGTTAACTTGCTCTTTATTGTTCAACCTTAAATAAATAAAAATCCAGACCATGTGTACAATGTTAATAAAAACAGAATTGACGATGTGAAAAAAGATTGATAACCCGTATTGGACTGGAAAATGCACAAAGACAACATTGAATATATTGAAACTGAGAAATTTATCGTTTTGGGAAAACTGATATGCCTAATTTGATAACATGTTTCAAAAAAGCTGGCGCAGTGTCAATAACGACTGGAAACGTTGCAAAATGCTTAAAAAAAACGTGTCTTGGTACTTCTCAGTTAATGACGTTTACTGGTTACCGGTTAATAACATGGTTTGGTAAAAAAATAAGAGCATCCCAGAGAGGCTAAGTCAAACTTACTAATGAATAGAGAGGGGATCGTCACACTGTGAATGACTGGGCTGAAAAATGTGCAACACTAAGAATAATATTTTTTACCTAAAATTGTGAAGAACCTGGGGATTTCATTGTTTACCGCACATAACATCATTAAAAGATTCAGAGAATCTGAATATATCTGTTCATGCAAGGACAAGGTAGAAAACCAATATTTGATGGGAGTGATCTGTGGCCACTGAGACGGCCTTTCATTAAAAACAGACACGATCTGTTGTGGACATCACTGCATGGATTAAGGAACACTTCCAGCAGACATTTTCTGTAAACACATTTCATAACTTCATTCACATGCTTGTTAAAACTCAACTACTATGCAAAGAGGAAACTACACAAGCAAGATCAAGAAAGGTGGCAGCCTTCTTTAGGTACACGGTCGTTTAAAATGGACTGAGGCGAAGTAGAACACTGTCCTTGCTCCTCAGGTCTGTCTAGTCCAGATTTTAAAATTCTGTTTGGTAATCCTGGATGCTGCATCCTCCATGCCGAAGAGAAGAGGGACCGGCTTGTTATCAGCCATCGGCATCTGTGGTGTTACGGGGGTATATTAGTGCACATGGCGTGGGTAACCTGCACAGTCACGAGGGCACCATTAATGCTCAACCATATACAGGTTTGGAGTAACTTATGCTGCCAAATAGACAACTACAGGGAAGGCCTTGCTTACTTCAGCAAGACAATGCCAAACCACATTTGAGTATTACAACAGCACGGCTCCATAGTACAAGAGTGATAAACAGGACTGTCTGCAGTCCAGGCTTGTCCACCATTGAAAGAAATGGGCACATCATGAAACTTGAATACGACATGAGACAATAGAGCCTGGGAGGTTCAGAAAATGCTAGTTGAAAGGAGAGGTGATGAAACGGAGTGCTAAATATGGTCCTGTCCCAACTTTTAGAAAATGAGTTGCTGATATCAAATAATATATATATATGTTAATATAATAGATGTATTTTTCCCCAAAAAATGACATTTCTCAGTTTCAATGTTTGATATCTGCTATTTTCAATTAAATATGGGGTTTCAATGTTTTGCAAATCTTCACATCTTATTAGTAATATTTTACACAACTTCTCAACCTTATTACATTTTGGGTTCTAAGTAATGGGCATGTAGTGGTACATGTGTTTAATAGTATGAACAGCTGCTTCTGTACTAAATATGTTGTTGTGTTGAATACAGAGTCACTTAATTTTTAAAACATTTCACTTAAGACAAATTAGCCTATCATTCATTAGAACTTCTCCATGTTACTTAATTATTAAGAGACCGAGCCAAAAGATTTAAAGATTAGCTTCTCTTCACTTCCTTTCAGCAGGGCCGTAATTCTTTATTTTTTTTATTTTTTATTTGAATTTTCTCCTCGTTGACGAGAAAGGCCACTCCACTTCAGGAGTTTGGAGATATTTTGGCTTCTTACAGTCTGTCAGAAACGTGTAACATGCTCTGTGAAACTGTGTTGAAGACAAGTGCAACACCACAAAACCTTTTCAACAGTTTGATACAAAATGACCTGTTAGAACACACTGAAGGAAATATATCACCAACAGTCCCAAATGAGTGGACCGTGTTGTAAATGATATAGAAAGTCTATGGTGTGATTCAGTAAGCACCAGGCCAGTAGGGTAAGTGTTACTGCCCAACAGCAAACTGTCATATCAGTGTGCGCTTATGATGGTGAAATAATCCTCTGTTCAAGTATAGTTTGTCATGTTCTGACGTCAACTTTCACTCAGGAGCAAAAATCTGCCTTTAAATTTGAAAGAAACAAAGATTTAACATTCATCGTGATAATTATCGATATTGACTTATATGAACATGTTTATCCTGATAATATTTGTAGTCATATCGCCCAGGCCTAGGGCGAGGAGAAGCTTTATTCAAATAATGTCTTTATGGCTGCATGACAGTCATCTGCCATCTGAGTAGTGCACACATGTTAAAAACATGCATAAACCTGTGCCCTTTACATGATGTGTTGATGTTGTGTTTTTAAAGCTTGCTCCTGTAAACTACATTTCCAACATCATATCCACAACATCAAAGTGTCCTAATGAAGTCTAACTTTTGTTTAAAGAATGCACATTTCCATTCTCCTCCTCTAACAGAAACTTTAAAAAAAAAAAGTAATCTCTGAACTGTTCTTCCACAGAGACGCAGAGACGACCTCAGCCCAGAAGCGATCGTCCAGCTCAAGAAGAGAAGATTCCGCTTCGCCACCTATTCTTGGGAAACGTAGGCGAAAAACATAAGGAAGGGAGAACAATTCTCAAACGGCAGAATCAGGACCAATACATGTCTAAACTGACTGTAAAGCATACCATGAAGTCAGTGGATGCACATTCCCACCAAGGATTTCATAGATTTTCTGAAGTTGCACGTGTAAATAAAAGTTTGTTATTTTTACATGTTTTGTAGTTTTGTAGTCCATGATAAGATGATCACCCAATATTCACCTGGAGGTTATTGTATTAAGATGACTCTGGTTTCGATACTTAAATTTATTGAAACACGTCTTCGTATGGTTAGGATTTAGCTGCTGTGTTTAAAGTAGATGATTTATTGGAGGCAGCGTACCTAAGTTTTGTTCTTCTGCTCGGAATTTGATCCAATTTGTTTTTTGTGTTCTATTTCTTTCTAAACAACTTTCAGTCTTTTTATTCTTATTGTAAAAGTGTAATATGCAGTATAAATTGAAATAAATGTGCAGTATTTTTTTAAATGAACACTTCCGGGTTCTATTGTGGATTTATCTTTGAGCTACCCATTCAAGTCTTCTAGAAAATCGATATTGACATCTTTGTACACCGTGTGCCGACTTAAACCTTTTGGACATCATGGCTGCGGTGTAACTTAGCATTAGCAGCTGTGAAATAGATTATAAAAAGTCATTTTCCTTCTCCTGAATAACTTGGTGTCTGTTTAATAATCTATCCTCTCCATCTTCAGATTTTTCCCTCATATTCGGGTTACTTTTTGGCCAACTGCGATTAGGAGCTCAGTCACACTGGATTCATCTGTCATGTGCAATTTCAAAGTGTGCAAACAAATCTGCAGCCTCTCGGGTTGATTGTTTTCTTTGAAGGAAAAGGAACCGGGGTCAGTTTAATTAAATCAACCTGATGCTTGTGGAAACCTCAGGTCAAAGCAAGCGAGAGTGTAAACACTTAAGAAGGGGGAAGGCAGTGTTTGTGTATGTGTGCATGGGAGAGTGAGCAGGAACACGTTTGGGATCTGGGCTTGATTGAAAACAGAGCTCGCCTGGAGTCAGAAACACTATGCTTCAGACTCTGCCGTCAGACAAAGCACGGACACACGGACAAACCCTGCTGGACACCTCTACCTGATGCATCAGTATCTCTTCTCCTGTACAATGGCACTGTTTGTGTCTGCTTTAATTGGCAGGGATGTCACTCTAGCTTGAAACCACAGGAGAGGACTGAGTGGCTGCTGATTCTTGCCTTCATTTGGGGAGCAATGAAGCAAGCAGGGATATCACTGATTCCACACACCCTCTCACAGACACCATGCTGACAGGACGATTTGTCATCTGTCCAACACAAGGTGAAATATGTTTTGAATATGACGCAGCTGCCCTTGTCCTTATCTCATATTTTGAATGCCCTGTACAGCTTTGGAGGCCGTTTTCAAATATCCACACGTACAAAGTAAGGATAACCATCTCACAGTCATGGCGAGGGATCATGCAGGCCCGGTAGCAGATCTACAGTGGCACATTCTCCCTCAGGACCACCCTGACCACAGCTCTCATGCAACAGTCCCCTTGTGCTTGAAGTCGTTGTTGCAGAATTCTTCCAGTGGAATCACTAATGACTCTTGATCCAGGAAATGCACAGAGACAAGCTGGAAGAGTTGCCCAAACTTACGGGAAATTTGTCCATATTTAAGTGTCAGATTTATTTCTTTTTTTCAAGTTTTTTCGTTTGATCTGAAAAAAATGTTAAATCTGTTTGAGAAATACTGGCTGAGGATTACCTGGAAGACTTATTAGAGTAGTCTGCCTTATTCTCTATTTGTACTGCAGGAAACTCTAAAATACTTTGGAGTATTTAACTCAAAGAGAGTTTGTGAACTCTTTCAGCTTAAGTTTGAATGAAGCATTCAAAAGGGAACACATCATATCTAAGTTCACTATGTCTTCCTATTTTCTCCTTTCATCCTGAATCACACTTTTAGAAACACCTCAGAAACAACTTGGATTAGTGATTTGATTGATCAGTGTGGTTACCGAGTTCCTTTCCAATGGGGTTCAAATAAGTAAACTTCTCTAACCTTCCATTGTAAGGTCAAGTTAGACATTCATTCCAAAATGAAGCAACAAAATGTTTCATAAGAAACTGTCTCTTGTTCAGACACCAAGTATTTCATAACATCAATGTTCATGAGGGGAGACATAACAAATCAAACAATACACGGTTATTTGGGAATTCATTGAATCCCAGCACTCGGCTTGTCAAATTCAACATGCAAGAGGTGAGCTGTGTATATATGTACAGCTTTATTAACAAGAGTTTGAGACTTGTTTTTATATCTCAAAACTTCTGAGGTTAGTGACTGCATGTTCTTTCTGCAGGACTCATTCAAAGATAATAATCTCGTTAATATCAACATAAAAGTTTAGAAGGATTGTTGCTAATGTTTGACTTAATCAGTTAGATTTGAAGAAACTGAACTGAATACAAACTTCATTTACATCAATAAAAACAGATATACAGTATATATAACTCTCATGTCACCATTCCTATACATCTGCGTTTACAAACCAACCACACGTGCGCTCTAACAGGGCCAACAGTGAGCTGAGAGCAGCAGGCCATTAGTCACGTTAATAGTCTCAGTGGGCCTCACAATGCCAACCTCATGAGATAGTAAATGAAAACCACTCTACCCAAACACAGACCCTCAGTGGTGATAAAAGTCCCCAAAAAATGGTGGAGCCCCCATGGTTTTTAGTGCAGCACTGGAAAGGAAAACATTTAAGGATTCAAAGCAAAGTACACTATCTGAATACACATTTGTCGAGCTGGGATGTTGAAATATGCAGCCTGACTGTAAATCAGCTGCACAAGGCCACACTGTCTGTTTCTGGAGAAATCAAACAAATCAAAACGGCTGTTTCCAGGGGGAGGGGTTTAATCTGAAACGTAACCATCAGCATGAAAACCGCTAAAGATAGCTCTTTGTGTTTCCACATCATCTGCAAAAAACAGAATAGATTTTGAGGCCCCCAAACTGGAAATCCTTCCCCCCCCCGGCTGCGCCTTGAGATCCTGAAAATCACAAACAAAATCGGTGACAAGGGGCAACCCCGGCGAAGGCCAACATGCAACGGGAACGTGTCATACTTGAACACAGCTCCCACTTTGGTCATTCAGAGGCCAGATGGCTCGATGTGAAAACAGATATTTGAAACGCCAGTTCTACAATAATAACTGTTTTTAAGAATTCTGGTATATAAGGTTTGTGTGACCTTGACATGCCATCATAAAAGGTCAAATATGATTCAGACACACACGGTTGTGTCCCTATCTGAAATCTATTCTGATGCTGTTATTGCACGCTTGTCACGCTGTATCTGTGTTACAGTCGTCCCCTGACCATAGCAATGATACTGGGGATTCAGGGCTCCTCATAAAAAGATAGGAATGACGCCTCAAAAACAAAGAAACAAAACATGCTCCAGGCTGTAAAATTCAAATGAATTTTCCATTCAGAGATTTATATCAACACTGGTGATGTAAACCAAGCTTTTACTTTGTACTTTTTACATGTAATGTGATCAAGATGAGGCGCTGTGTATCTGCTTCTATTCCTTCAAACTTGTTGAGCTTTGCTCACATAATACATTTTCAGCTTATTATGAATGATGATGCAATTTGCGAGGTTGAGGTAAAGCAGTAGTTCCTTACTGACAAAGGGCTGATTGTCTTCTTTCATGACTTCAAAAAGGAAATGATTAGGACCCAAACCCAATGAATGCAATTATCTACCTGGCCGGATGAAGACACCAGCCGCAGAAGAGACAAGCTCATATATTACAGTGAAAGACGCTTTAGGAGACAAAGATACAGTTCATAGAGATCCACTGAACTCCATCATTTACTTAATGGATCCTACATAAATACTAGAATACTGAGAGAATAGAAATGTTAGCATTCTTTTTCCTGCATTTATTTCATACCTTCATTTTTAAAGTCTCTTATAGCACATACATTCTGCGTTTGGCCATTGTTACACTTTTTGCTGCTCCCAGCATCATTATATTAACTTTAAGGATACTATTTTATTTATTAACAATTACAATGACATTGATAAGCAGTAAAATTTCAATCTTAGCTCAAGTATAAACCTGCATTACTTTTCTCCTCTGGTAAATCAAATGAATGCAAGGTTCTGTGCTTTGTCTCTTTTTCTTTAGTGTGAGCAGTTTGATAGAAAGATGTGAGTGCTGTTCAATCCCTTATTTTCTTGTCTGCAGCAGCAGCAGCAACATGCTTAAGTTTAGGATTTAACACATCACTGCTGAAAAGATCAAATAAAGTATGTAATTAGACTGTCAAACTAAATTACTCTCATTTACAGTATCACATTGTGTGTTTGCAGGGCACTGGCATGACAAGAGCCAATTCTTCAATTTACTAAACTGTAGATGCAACACATAATTTATGACTGACAACCTACAAGAGATTAAGAATTGGAAACTTTTGTAGCTTTCAGAAAGAGTTAAATCAAATCCCAGTGTTAATGTTTATCTGTGCAGAAAATGTTTTGTGTTTGTATATAAATGTGTCCTTTATTTAAGGATGTACAGGATATTTTAAAATGTGTTTTATATGTGATAGATGACAAATCTTATAGCATGTATTTTTAAAAGTTCAAAAATAAACTCTATACTATTCTTTGTGGGCTGTCAAACGCTTCAAATCTTTAAAACCATTAATCGCTACTATATCACATTTTTAATCACATGTTTGAAATTCCTTTATTTCACTTTTATTTTTTAAATGTAGGCTCTTATTTTGCATGTTTGTACTGTCTTAAGATGAGAGTACTATACTTCCTGTTTGAATTGAACCCTGCTTTAATTTTGAAATGATATAAGGACCTTCTGCTAGTAGGAACGTTATGACATGAACTAAACCTCGGGAAAAAAAAAAACTAGTTAAGGATCAAAAAGTAAGTGAAGCTCAAAGGAAAGGCAAATGTTTGATGTCATGAGGTGATAATTACTTTTGACTCAACTGAGCTGTCTTTTTTTAATTGAAATGAGATGTTTAAATAGTGACGTTCTTTTTCATCACTGTGACTACAGGGAGACACTATGGAGGCTTATCCTTGGTACGACTAATATGGATAGAAAAATAAATGCTTTCATTTATTGTGATTATTTAATCCGGTCCGCCCTAAAGTCTTCATGTGCTGAAATTTAAAGAGCATGTTATAACACTTTTGTTGAGGTGTGTCCACTAAGCCTCGTTATCAGCTGCTCTGTTCAAAATCAAAATCTTTATTAAGACAAGTATACACAAATCACAATATACAAATGTTTTGACAGTGGCCTTAAAAACAGCTTCATTTTTTCTTTAGAAGTCCATATAAAGCACCCAATTATTTTCACAACTTGAATGAGTGTGTGTCATTACCTTACCAGATGGGAGCATGGCCGTTTAGTTAATTGTTCTCGAGGTAAGAGGGGAACGCCATA